TCCTTGGCAAGCTACAGTAGTTTCAAACCTCCTTTACAGTAGTCTAACCCTGTACACCAGAAATGGTGTGTTTCCAATTTTTGAGTACAAAGTACATGATTCTGATTGCAAGTTAGAAAAATTTAGGAACTCTTTAGAACTGTGTTCAGCTTTACCTCCAATTTTCTCCTTTTTTCCCTCTCGATCTCATCTTTTCTCACGTCGATCTCTCTTTGAAGTGCCATTTCCTTTTCTTTAGCCTCAATTTTCATTTTGATGATCACAAGGGCCTTGCTGGCTGTTGTCTAAAGCATTTTCAGTTTTAAAGCTTTACCTTTTCTCTTTGAAACTTACCATAAACATTTTCATTGCCTCTGGCTTGACTTTTTCCCATTCATCATTACAAATCTCATGTCGAAAACAGTTTTCTTCAAAAGCTTTCATTCTCCAGTCAACTTGACTTTCTAGCCATCTTTGCTCGGGAATTGTTTGGAGTTCGATCTGGAATTAACTTTGGCTTTGCACTGGACTTGAACTTTAGCGTACTTTATGCTCAAAAATTGAAAACTCATCCCACTTTTGCGAGTGTTTCCCTCATTTCGCTGTTCATCTCATTCAGGGTTGTCTGCACGAATTGGGCTTTCAAATAAGTGATCCGGTTTTGAAGGAAATTCTAAAAAACAGCTTTTTTGAAAGAATGTTTGTCTAAGCAATTGAATAAAACCTCCTCACCTCAAGCATTTGTATCGATGTCTCGAGAAGCTCGATCCCTGCCTCGCCAATCTCTTCTCGTACCCTTCCCGTTCTTTTCATTTCAAGAGCTTCGTCAAGATTGGAAAGCTTAAAGATACTGTAAGATCTTGTGCACTTTCTAAAAGGCATTTAGAAAAACCGTAGTGAAGTTTACATTAGACAGCTTCAGGACGGGGTTCTTGGGAGGTCCGGAAGGCTAACTTCTCACAGACAACAGACTTGCACTAGTAACAGACAACAATACTTCCTTATGAGCTTTGTTATGAGCTTTAGAACGGGGTTCTTGGGACGTCCGGAAGGCTAACTTCTCACAGACAACAGACTTGCACTAGTAACAGACAACAATACTTCGTACAGTCTTGTACTTGTATTTAGCATAGTGCTGATACAGAATATTTTATAGCATAGTACTAATAATGTACTACTTAACAATGATGTAGTGTGCAGAAATATCTTTTCTGTTATGCGATCCTTTCTTGTCACTTTCAAACAGCTGAAATTCGGTCTTTACGGTCCAAAAGGTCAAAATTAAGAATTAAAATGGATTTGGTCTAAACTTTTTCCGATCATTATTTGCCTTTTTTTTGTTCATAACTGGGCATAGTAAAGCATCGAAACTGGTTTTGAATATATTATTGACTCTGAATTGTAAAGTTCAATTTAGCCGAATTCCCCAACCTTTTGTACATTCGTTCTCAATTTTGCGCAAAACTCGTCGCTTTTCCTCCGGATTTCCTTATCATTTTCGACGTTTTTGAAGTCAAGCCGCCTTTCGGATAAAATTTCCTCAAAAAACGAAATTTTACAGATTTACAAAAATCTCAAACCTGTATCTGTGACTCTAAAAGATCCTTGGCTTCAGGAATATTCCCAGCTTTCAATAGCTCGTTTAAACGCTGATCGATCTCTTTCCGAGCCATCGTTTCCGCGATTTGCAACGTTTCTGGAGAGCTGTTCTGAAAACGAAAACATTTTTCCTTCAAATTCTAGATCAATTCATTTCTAAGCTTGCTTAGTATCTAGATAATTGTCTTATCCAACCCACTTTCAAAGCTTTTCGAAAGATTTCGCTGCACTTGTTCACCGCCACGGCCACCGTTGCTTCTTTGCTCAGCTAAAATTTCCTCGATGTACTTTGTGCTAAAAAGTTGTAAACGCACGCTTTCTGGTGTATTGCAAGACTTGTTTTAGTGTGCTTTGTGTTAAAGTTTCTAAACGCAAACCTTCTAGCGCACTGAACTCCTCATTTTTCACACAACAGCGAGTTCCCCAGACTCCTCAGAAAAGTGAGGAATCGAGTGCACCAGAAAGAATGCGTTTAGTCATTTTTGCGCACAAAGTATATTTATATCTTACTGTAACTTTCAATTACTGTAATGATTATTTAGCTTCATCCAAAAACTCACCACCGCAGTCGTTTTCAACTCGGGTGCCTCGTATTGAAGATAGTCGACAATTTTCTGAAAATATCAATTTTTCAAAAGTTTCATTCAAAAGTTATCTACTAACCTGAGCCAAATCGATTTTGTCTTCAATTTCTTGTCCCTGAAAACTCTTGCATTTTTCGATCACCGAGTACTTGACTCGGGCTAAGCAGCTGAGCAAGGGGAAATCTGAAATTTCGACTTTCAACTAGACTAGAAAATTCCAACCCAAACTTAATTCCACCTTCGTTTTCTCAGTCGTGATCAATTGTTCTGATATTTTGTTTGCAAATAGAAATTTTCATTCTCTCCTTGTAGACCGAATTTGCAAAGCAACTGAGAAAACGAAGGCGGAATTGGGTTCGAGTTGGAATTTTCCTATGTTTAGTTTTAATCTTAGTACTTCAATAAGATAATTGTTAAATTGTCGATTGTCAATTCAAATCCCACCTTGTTCCTGAACTTCTAGAAGTTGATTCGCAAAACGAACATTATCTGAAGCTCTCGGCGTGCAGAAACACTCGATTTTGGGGAAATGGCGACGAAGAGACGAAGAGACTTCTCGTAAATCCGACGAATTCTCGTTTTGAGCCTAATGTTTACTCTTATAGTAAACAATTTCCTAAAAGGCATAAAGCTACCAAAAATCTACCACAAAACTACGATTTGATCAATCTAAAAAACTCACCCAAACACGCTCCAAAAACGCTTCCTCTTGATCCCAATCCGGAGTGTCTCTGACTACGAAAATCAAGGACTAAAATAAACTTTCAATTTTGAAGACTATGATTGTTTTAAAACTTGCAAACCTCTGCCAGTTTCCCGTCACGAAAAGCCGCCGATATCTCAACGAACATATGAATGTCGAGAAGATCGTTGCCACCAAGATTTCCCATCAAATTTACGAGCTAAAATTGAACAGTTCTTAAGATATCGTTTAGATAATCTTAAATATAATTGCTTTCGACATTACTTATCTGAGAGTTAAAGTTTCATTTTTTTAATTGTCAGTGAGACTAGCCGAAAACGCTCGTTTTTCGGCGTTTTTCTCTTTCTTGTTTCAAATGACTAAAACTACTGTAGCCCATGTTAAGCCCCGCCCATTTTTAAAAATGGACCTAAAAGTCAAATTCCTTATGGCTGAAAACCCCTAGGAGCCATGACAGACAGAGAGACAGACAGACAGACGGACAGATAAACAGGCAGACAGACGAACAAACAGACAAACGCCCCTCCTGCTTTATATATTTTATGTCCGAATCCGACCAGGCATCCGGATCTGATCCGGACGTCCAAATCCGGCCATTGATTATCTTGTGGGCGGTTTCGGACGTCCTAATCCGACCACAATCCGATGAATGCCAATTGATCCCACTTGATAAATCGAATTTTTTATAATTTTTCAACTATGGTATTTTCACCCACGCAAAATTTAGGCTAAGAAATTTAAGTAATATAGTTTGTGAGTTTCCAATAAATTTTAAAAATATTGCATGTCTTCGCCCATGTTTGCTAAAAAAATGTTCATTCCACCCTGACCCACCGCGTTTGTCAAAAATTGAGCGATTTTTTAAAAAAATTGTTGCTCATCTTCATGGTAGACAAGTAGTAGCTGATGTTTATATTTAAACTTTCATGTTTTTTTCTTTTTAGGTCATTGGTCTTCAGAATTATCGCTTTTAACGATCGATTCGAGAAATTCGTACAAGAGCGACGCAGTCGAGCTTTCCCGACTAATGCAGGTTATGTGAAGATGATTGAGACACTTCAATCAACATCAGTCAATTGGAAATTAGCTGAAGAACGAAATCTTCACCGGCGTTTCTCTCTATTCAGAAAACGGGACAATAATTCTTCTGCACCATGGTGATGGGACCAAGAAAAACGACGGGAAGAAAGTCATCAAGCGTGAGGACCTCTATGAATTGCTTCGACAAAAACATTCAACGCTTAGACACGCTGGGATCTATTTAATGTGGAAAGCCCTCCAAAATTATTATGGGATATCGAAAAAGTATTGAAGATTTTCGTGGATCAATGCCATTCGTGGATCAATTTCGAGGAGTGCCAATTGAAAAAGAAGCTTCCAAAGAAAGGAATAGTTGTGAAGCCAATCATTTCTAACCACCAAAATCAGCGGTGTCAAGTTGATTTGATCGACATGCAAAGTGCTCCAGATGGCGACTACAAGTTAATTTTCGCTTACCAGGTAGATTATTTTTTTGGTTTTTCAAGTTTAGCCTTCTTTATTTATGTTAATACTCCTTATTTTAGGATCGCCTCACAAAATTCCTCTCGTTGAGGGCTCTGAAGACAAAAACGGCAAGAGAAGTAGTCGACAACATCGTATCGATTTTTGGAACCTTTGGTGCTCCACAAATTCTTCAGACAGATAAGCTATTTTAAGAAAATAAATCGGAATTTTTCATAAAATGTATTGCATTTTTGCATTTTTTGATGGGGCTACAGGGGGGGTAAAATACACCTTTTTTTATTTTTGCTTTTAGACAATGGCAGAAAGTTTGCAAATAAACTCTTGGAAGAAGCCGTCGCTCAAAGGCCTGGTTGCAAGATCGTTCACGGGAAACCGCGCCATTCGCAGTCACAAGGAAGTGTAGAGCGAGCAAACGCGGATATCGAGGTTAGTTTGGCTGCTCATAAAAATACTTGTGATCGTTTAGGATATCTTGAGCGTTCATCAAAGAGAAACAAAAACTACCGGGTGGGCCCGATTTTTGCCCTTGATTCAATATCGTAAAAACATCAGGTAACTTTAGTTTTTTTGGTAATTTACATTTTGTCGATAGATTTCATTCCGGTATTGGACGTAGCCCATATTTTGCAATGTTTGGACGAGACTCTGAAAATGCTACAGCGATTACTAAGGAAGAAGTAAGGTTTGAAATATTTGTAGGTTTGGAATATTTGAAGTAAACTGTGTGGTTTAGGTTTTGTCAGATGACGACGAAATCCAGCAAACAAGTGCCTACGAGGAGGAGGAGAAAACTCTTCAGGTTAATTTAAATCTTGATTTTTTTTCTCTATTAGCAACTTTAGGAAGATAATTCTACTCGTTACGCCGATCTACGACCTGCAAGCTTCATGAATTCAATTGAGAGTGGTGTTGAGGTATAAATTACGTTTTAAATACATAAAAATAACGTTATTGTTTAGAAATTTCCTGAATTCGCAAATCAGGAGAATAATGACGCCGACTTTCAACCTGGGATTGTTGGCCCAGTGCTTGGTTTGCTTTTTAAAATATTTACTAAACGTTATTTGGCTTTAGGTGTTCAAAAAGATGAGGAGCAAGCGGAAATCGATGGTCTACACGATTCGATTATGATGGAAAGACATGGAGCCCATTCTTCCCAAAAGAATCAGGCACGAAAGATGCTTCACGCCAGTGAACAAAGGTACTTTTGCGTTTTCAATGTTTTCATTATGATTACTTTTAGATTTGCACCGATTGATGTTGGACAAAATGTTTTGATGCCAATTCCTTGTGTCGATCGACCCAAGATTGGACCACGAAATTTGATGGGAGTCGTCACAGGTATTCTTAAATTTATTTCTAAATGTAAAAAGAAATTCTAGTTGTAACTGATGGTTTTTACTCGATCGGGACACAAAATGGGCATCGACAAAGATTGACTAGGAATCAACTGAAGTGGAGCTGAATTCTACTCAAGCAATTCAATTCCGGACGGGGAGACGTCATTGAGAACTGCTGTTGGGGCAGCATCGATCTCTGGGAGCCAAGGTAAGCACATTTATTTGCACTTATAATCTTTCTTTTTTCTTTTTACAAATTCAAATGTTTTTACCTCAGCTAAAATATTATAATTTTAGGTCACGCTCATTGCTTGTGCCTGAGCGGATGTACGACAAATCGATGTGCTTGTCGAAAGAAGAGTCTACTTTGCAACTCGAGATGCCACCATGCAAGAAGTTGTACTAACAAGTGATATCTTTGTTTCTTGTTTTGGCTCTTTTCAATTTCAGAATGACGCTTTTAGTAGCATGCATTATGTGCGTAGTAAAAAGCGCTTTTGTTTAAGTTGATTGTTGTTTGACTTTGTTTTTCATTTAGTTTGTTTGTTGTAGCTTGAAATTCAGACAGTTGCTAACCAATTTTATTAATGTTGTTAATGGTTGTATTGCGGATAAAAATGGGTTTATGTCAATCATGTCAATCTTTTTAAAAAACTAGCTTTTGATAAAGGCTAACCAAGGCGCAACAATTGTGTAAGTGACTTACAAGAGGTTCGTCTATAAGAGGAATACCCTTTCAATAATTATGTTTAATAAATTTGCTCAGTTAGCATTAAAAGTTGGTTAATTGGCATTTATCGGATTGTGGTCGGATTAGGACGTCCGAAACCGACCACAAGATAACCAACGGCCGGATTCGGACGTGACATATATAGATAATCTGCTTGTCAAAAGTTTAACCTGTATATCTGCGAAAAGAAGTGAAAAGCCGGCGATCCATGCCGAGATTGTCCTCTCTGTTTGCATGTCGAAAGTGCCCTGAGTGTCGAGGAAAAAGACGGCATGCTGAAAGCTTCTTGACTTTAAAGGGCTTAGGTTTACGGTAACGGCTTTATAATTTTTGTTTGCCTGTAAAACATGATTTTCACAGTAATTTCTCAGTACCAACCGTCTCGTTGATGAAAATCGGCCTCGTGAAGATGTGGATTCCCTCGGTGAAACGCTGAAGACCCGATTGGAAAGCACCACTGCAATAAAGGGATAAAGAACTAATTTAGCTTTTACCTATAATCTTATTCGCTAAACTTACTGTATTTTGTTGCCATCGACTCCATTTGTGAGCACGGACATAAGAAAACTCTTCCCCGATCTCGATGGGCCCATCACACTGACGAAAGTAATCTGAAAGTCAAATCTAAAATTTGTGACAAGGCATTTGATTGGCTAGTGCCATGTACAATGTATTCTTTTATATATGGTCTAATTTTTAAATTGACCCACCTTTACCCCTCGATATCTCTCATTGGCAAACGTTTCTCGAGCTACTGTCTCGTGGAAGTTGATCCGATTCTCATCAAAGGTCACCAACGGGAGCAACGAGTTTTCCTAGATTGAATCAAAAGTTGAATAACAACTTTATCATAGATAACAATCATTACTACTTATTTACTGCCTTACTGATCTCTTGGCTCTTGACTGTAGTCAGGGTTTTGCCTGGATCCAAGTTTTGAGGTTAAACTAAAGCTAGGTTAAGCCAAGTCAAAGCCAGACCGATTAGAGAAAGTTAAAGCTAACAGGTCAACCTAAAGCTGGATAGATCGAGATTGAACTTTCTAATTTTCAGCCGATATGCCTGGTGACCTGGCAGTCCTGGCTGACTTTTGAAAGAAGCCTGATCACAGATGTCAAAATCGAAATAGCCTATGATAAGGCTAAATTTTTAAAAACTAGTAAAACTGCTATTTCTGAACTAATATAGAGTTGTACAAGCAAGAATTCAAATTGAAACGCGTCAACTCCAACTTCGTCAACTTCTCGCCTAATCACTTCATCATCGACCATTTCTCTTCCAATAAAACTGAAAAAAATGTTTTACAAGTTTTACAAGTTAAAAATGTTTACAAAAAAATGTTAGCTTGAAAAAGTCAAAAAGCTTTTGGTGTTTATGACCGAAAAAAGTTTCGCGAGATCGGCTTTGGGCGGAATTTTGTGACAGAAGAAAATTGAGAACAAAAAAAAGATAACGAAAAAAATAGGCTAGTTTTAAGCTTTGAGACTTTAACTTTTCTAAATTCTAATTAATTTAGCAATCATTTTTCCAAATTCTTTTTAATTTAACGTGCCAGATGGCATGCGTTTATGGGCTTTAAAGTTTAAAGTTTAAAATCGAAAGCTTCTATGGAAAGACAAGCGGTGGGACTGGTCTAGTTTACTCCATCTCGAGCAAGGGAAACCAGGTGCGCTGTAGCGCAATGGCTAGCGTATTATTTATTGCCCTCCTGATGTAAATTCAACAAACACATCTTCTCTTTTTAACCACCGACGTTTTTAAATTCTGCTGAGTTTTTAGGTGATTTGTGACTGTCCAGACGACATAATCGGTCTGCAAAGGTTGCCGCCTCTCCCGGACGCTGACCACCACTCAATCAGATTCAAAATTGGTTCAACCTGTTTTGCTCCGAAGGAAAGATTCAAGTCTGTTGCATTTGGATTTTGATTATGACAAAGCGGCGGTGTGCATACTAGATTCTCTAAATCGATCAGATTTCTGTGCCTTCTCAAATTCTATTGACAAAGATCATGGCAAGATTGCGAAGAAAAGATTGCGCTAGTCTCCTAAAATCGATGGATTAAGCTTGTGGTTATTCTCCTTTATTGAACCCGCCGCACATCTTGAGAGCTAAAAGTAGACTAGCCCATTTTTTCCGTCGTTCCTATTTGAAAACCCTTAAACAACCCTCTAGTTAGTAAGGAACTGAATAAGCTCTTCAAATAATATCGTAAATTTTAGGAAAATAATGAAAGAAATGCCATCAAACCGAAAAAAGGGAAGTCTTTTTGCACATATATTAATTCTAAAACTAAGGATCGAAACCAAGCTTCAAATTCCTTCCTTGATCCTTCCAATCCATCTCACAATCACCAGAAACCTAACGAACCCTTTCCGTCTTTTAAATATGCTTCCTTGTTTGGTCTCCCCGTTCACAAGTCTCCATTGAACGTTTGGAGAAAATTCAGAGAAGATTCACAAAAATCGCTTTGTGGAAAAATTGACGATTTTAAATATTCTAGTTTGATTTATGAGGATAGATTTCCTCTTTTTGAACTAAAAGCTTCAGAACATTGTCGCTTTGTCATTGTTCTAATTGAAACTTTCAAAATTCTGCGTTGCAAACAGATTAGCTCTTTTTTGTTGACTTTTTTAATTCTAACCCGAGATCAGAGTCCAGAAATGGTTCAATCATTTTGCAGATTCCTTTTGTGTCTAATGCTTTTATCAGTTTTTGGCGAAAATCGCCTTGATCACACTTTTCGACTTTAGATCTTTGGGAAAAAATTATGCGAAAGTTTAAAGCAGAACAAAACAGAAAAAGATTGAGCAAGAGAATTTTTTTTGCAAATCTCTTTTGCGTTTTTCATTGTTTTTTTTTTGGCTTAAACCCCTAAATTTGTTTGAAATTTGAAAAATTATCTTTTTTCTTTATTTTCGTGCGCAAATTTTCATTGTTTTTATTGTTTTATTGTTTCATTAATCAAACATGATGAATCTATTGATAATGTTTTTAGAAATTTTTTGAACAATTTTTATTGATATTTTGATCAGCTAGCTGGAGTTTTACCCTCGCAAAGTTTGAAATGAAGAGAGGAGCAAATCCAAAGTGATAACTTGTTCAATTACTGAAACTTGGCTAGATTTTTCTATGTCTTCTTCTATTTTACCTTAAATAGTTGCCCAGTTAGATCCTTCGTTTTTACTTAGAGTTAACTCCCTCTGGAGTAAGGGAGACCTGATTTAATTTCTCTCAAATTTCAGAGAATTTTTTCGAGAACACCATCAACCATGCTTTAACAAAAGAATCAAACTTTTTAAATAGAATCTAGACTTAAAAAGCTATATAAACTATTTATTTTTCTTTTTTCTTATTTACTACCAAATTTCAGCCACAATCAACCACCGAGGAGGCTGTCGATGAGCTCTACAAGCTCTACTTGAACAAGGTCTCGGTGAGTAATTATTCTTCAATATAATTGCTCTACTACTTTGAAACTCAATTAGTACACCAGAACATAAATTTTTAAAAATGAGCGCAAAGTATGCCCAAAGAACGACAATCACAACAACTTTTAACACATTCACGACGATAAGGCTCATCAGTACTAATGATGCACTAATAATGAAAAATGAGCATGTAAAGCTAAACCGTTAAGCGAATTATTCTCAAATCCTTGGTTGTAGATGAAACTTTTTATGCGCTACCTTTTTTATTTTGTCATTAAAATAGGTTTCATTAGTAAAAACTGTTAAAATCGCATCATCGGGCCTTTTTTTGAACATTCGGCCTCTTTCTAATCAAAAATCTTCAAAATAAAGCTTTTCGGAAACTTTCAAAAGTCATTTGAAAGAGAAATCATTGGACTATCTAATGAAAAAGCCGTATTTCATTTAGCTTGAGACTTATTCAATTAGAAAATGAATTTGGGTGAAAGACTTTGTACTAGTTTTCAGAAGGAGACTCAAGGCTATCAAATGACTATAATATTGGGTTGGTGAATTGAAAACTGCCGGCTATTGTCATATGTAAAAGTTTGAGCACTTTCTTCAAAAGAAACCCATTTTGGTGCCAATGGAAAAGTTGTAGAGAATCAAAAATGAAGCTTATATCCAAATTTTCAGAACGATTCAAAAACTGGTTTTCAAGAAATGCTAAATTTACGAATTTTCACAAAACTTGCATTTTAAGCGAATCTACTAAATGTATCTTTTTGGAAATCTGGCCATAAGCCTAATTTTTGATTCTCTACAACTTTTCTATTGACACCAAAATGGGTTTCTTGTTGAAGAAAGTGCTCAAACTAGGACATCTCCAGTCCTCCATTTTTGAGCTCCCACACTTGTCTCACACACAAACTAAGATCCTACTACGAAAGAGGAATTCGCAAATTGCCTGTAAAATGCCCATTTTAAGTCGTCAATAATAATGGAAATTATTTGGAATGAATTCATGGTTTTATGTTGAATAAATTTTAGTTCAAAGTCCGGCAGTCTTCAATTCACCAACCCAATAATTTAGCTTTTCTTTGAAGTTTTACCAAATCATCAGTAAATCAGTTAACAGTTAACGCCTAAGCGACCGTACGCTCAAAATACCGTCATCGCGACTGTATAAAGAGACAAAATGCTCAAGTCGAATAGATGGTCGATAGATTAGCCAATAGATTGATCGATAGAATACATTTTAATAGATTGGATAGATTTACAGTAGCCTAACAGTTTGCAGTAGGGTGTAGTACATTATTAATACCTTGAAATTTTAGCACATTGAGCACTACGATGGAGCCGACGAGACGATGATGACTGTTGGGAACGAGCACGCGAGAAAGGTTTAAACCTTGAAAGATGAAATCTAAAATCTATATGTCTGTACTATATTTGTATTTTATCTGTACTATAAGACAAATCAAATATTTTGATTTAGAAGTTCTTCGAAGAAATCAAGAAACGGCGTGAGCGATCGCTCGTTGAAACCAAGTTTGACCAGGATGTGAGTGTTGAATTCTCCATTCTAAAGATAAAGCTATTTTTTTAAAAACTGATCACAATACACTGGCTCTCCTAATCCAATTATTTCCAGAAAACTCCGAGTGTCACCGAGTTGGTGAAGAGAGAGACAAAAGCAGAACAACAACGGGAAGCTTCTTCTGTCCAATACACCCCAACAACAACTCCTCCCCTGATTGGATCATATGGAAATGAGGAAGAGGTAAAGTCAAAGACTAAACCGCTAGTACTTTGGTAGTACCTTGGCTTAGAATTCAAAAGCTTTAATCCATTCAAGTTCCAAAATTCAGCCGGAGCTCAAATTGCTGCAACTCTTCGACATCACCGAAGACGGGAAAACGTATTTCAACAAGGAAGTGCTCGACTCACTTTGCGCTCAATGTGGCAATCGATCGGTAGAAAGATTTTCTCTAAATTCTTAACTTGTCGCCAGGTATCGGTGATTTCAACAGCTGGGAAATTTCGGCAAGGAAAAACCTTCTGGAATAATGTGCTCTTAAATGGATTGCAGAGGGGAAGAGCCGGTTTTGATCCGGAGGATTTTGTCGGGTTTGGTTTTCAAAGATCATATAATTCAAAGACTTTAGTCCCCGACTGTATTTAAGAATCAAACTATTGCCAAATCCAATTTTCCAGGGGACGCGGTCGAATCGAATTCCAACGCGGCTTCGAGCGTCACACCAAAGGAATTATGGTTTGGCCAAAAGTCTTCGATCGACAAGATAAAGATGGGAATGAGGTGAGGATTTCTAAGACTTAGTCTTCTAACTATGGTAAACCTGTGTGCATACTACAGTCAGTCTTTAGTAATACTGTAGTCAACCTGGCCTACTGTTCTTGGTATACTGTAATGATACCGTAGCACTACTGTAAGCTGCCTGGGTTACTGTAACAATACTGTAGCTTGTAGGGCTAAACGCTGTACTTTATTACATAACCTAGTTCACATTCAATACTTTTCCAGCTAGCCGTCATCCTAATGGACACCCAGGGCACATTTGACACTTCCAGCAACATTGCCGACTCGGCCATCATTTTCGCCATCTCGCTATTAATGTCGTCGATTAAGGTCGATACGGGATTTTCTAATCCAAATTCTAGCGATTTAGATCTTCAACACAAAGAGTCAAATCGATGCACAGGATTTGGACGCGTTGAACATGTTCATTGCTTTCAGTCAGAGGACGGAGGAGAGAGTGGGACAGGTTTGTGAAAGCTTTGGGTACAGTGGAAATACTGTAGCAATGTTATAGTCGGCCTGGCAGACTGTGAGCACACTGTAGTGATATTGTAGTAGCCTGGGATACTGTAGAAATACTGTAATCGCCTGGGATATTGTAGCGATCCTGTAATCAGCTTGCAGCCAGTCAGTCTTGCACACTGCTGGTTTCCTGTAGCCAGTCTGGCATACCGTAGACAATACAGTACTACTGGTACATGATAGCCTTTTTGCACATAACTCTCTTCTTTCAGCACTTTCTGATCATGGTTCGCGACTCGATCGCCTCCGGCTTTGACCCTGAATACCTGGAGCAAATGAGGGTAAGGAAAAAGCTATACTATTATATTACAGTACTACTGGATGTTTTATTGTACCCTAGTACCACTTCCGCAAAACTATTCAGGTGAACACTCGCAGCGTCCCCGAACTTGCCCGCCTCCTCAATGGAGTCTTTGAAGCGTTCGAGAAAGTGGAATGCTGTATGGTGCCCCGACCATCCAATGAAGTGATCAACGCATCCGGGGAGATTTTGGCCAAAGGTGGGGTTTTATTGTCCCAGACTGATAGGCTTTAAACTTATATAGTAAAATTGGGTTTATGTTTCATAGCTCTGGTGTGGTAGAAGGGTTGAAGAGTCTAAAAACATGAAACTAACTGCGTGTGGAACTAGAACTAGCCCAAAACTAGCTCTATGGAATTTCTGGCATTACTTGTAGACCTAAACCAGGAGTTGGGCCTACCATAAGACCTGGTTTCAAACCTGATTTCTGAACAGACCGGACTAGTAGACTTGTTAAGCGGGAATCTCGTTAATGGCTTATCGGGAATTAATGGAAAATTAATGGAAAAGTTAAAGATATTCAGCTAATGAAAATTTTGATACCTACATTTTACCAACCGCGTCACCCAAATAAATTTATACCCATCGCAACTTTGCATTTATTGTCTTCTTACTTGCTTCTTACAAAAAAGACAAGATTGTGTGTGAATGTTCGGATTGTCTGAGTTCAAGAAATTAAAGCCATGGTTGACCTTCTCGTGGTTGAAGCCCGTTTGATTTGCTCAAAGTTGTATTCGCCCCGTGAATCGGAAATAAACAGTGAACCGGGCTCAAACTCTTGAATCGAAGATCCAGACTTGAGGCAAATCTCTTCCTGACTTGTTTTCCCTTTTTGAAACTCACATCAATTTTTACGAGATTTGGGTGACTAGTCTAGTCTACTGTCTATTGCCTAGTCTGGTTTGCCATGCCCTAGCTAATTTATCCCTGTCCGAAGACACAGTTAAGCATCTTAGTAACCCAAGAAGTGTACACCTCAAGAATCGTTTTCAGATTGTGGCGACGATTTCTTGTCGATGCTCTGCGAGTGCGCGAATCATGTGCTGGAAAAGTTGGTCCCAAAAATAGTGATGGGTACCCCACTGACTGGGAGAACTTTGGGAGCATATGTGGAGGTACAAAATCGATGTGACCACATCTACTAGCAAATCCCAATCTGTTATTTGTTGAGAATCTGTTATCAACTCTTTTTAAAGACTAGATCATCAGCAGAACCTTTAGAATCTCGTCGATCACATTCACTCAAACAGTCACAAGGCTATTTGCTCGGCCTTCGCGGTGAGATTTTTCTGTTTTCAGTGCTTTAGTCTTTCAGGCCACTTCACAACTCTTCTTTGAGAAGGCTCGCATCGCTGGGAATGAGACTTTTGCGAGACTCCATGAAATGGTACCATTTAAAAACTTTTATTGATCTGAAATAGTTACAATTGTTTTTTTAGCAGTATATCAAAATTACTAGTATGTTTTTGCACTTACTGAAGCTTTAGCTTGTTCGCGAGCATGGCCATCGCCCGATTCGACCCCGAGACTATGAGGAGGCCTTGCAGAATTTCATTCAGCAAGCCATTGAGGTAAAAAGCAATTTTCTGGACTCCAGGGCCTGAAAACTAGATTAGACCAAACAAAGAAAGACCAAAGCCAGGACAGAGAACAGACCTGGTGGGCTTTATTACGTCTGTAAGCCAAAAGGACAGGTCAGCAGCCAAGTCAACAGGTTTGGCTCAGCTTGGTCGACAGTAAGTCTGGCCAGAGTTTGAGTACTTTTTTGCTTTGAAAATAAGAAGGAACTAAAAAACTTCAACGTACTGTTCTATTTTACCCGTTCAGGCCTATAAATCGAGTCAGCTTTTCGGATCGGCTGAAGAGAAGAGCAAACATTTTGATGACTTCCGAAAGCTGCTCGAGGTTAGATTTCTTTCAGTAGGTCGTTATAAAACTCAAATTTTCTCATGAAGTACAACTTCTAATTTCCAGGAAAGATGCCAGGAAAAGATCTCGAGCAACAAGGATCGCTATTGGGACATTCAAATGGCCGAGGCGGTCAATGGAGCTTACGAAGTGTACGAGAAAGGAATGAGGGTGAGAAAACTTTCAAACTACAATGCACCAGAAAGGGTGTATTTCGAAATTTTGGACACAAAATACGCTAGATAGTTTAGCCTGATTTTGTCGAGAGTTTGGAGAAGAACAAGAAAGCTGAGTTTGTGAGAGACCGCCACAAGAAAGCTTTCCCCGAAGCGATGAAGCATTTTGAAAATGGTTGGTGTTGGAATTACATTTGAGTTTAAAAAACTGCATTAGGCAATACTGTAGGTATCCACAGTAACTAAGCTCAGGAATTAAACTGCAATTTTTAGTTGTCCAAGACTTTCTCGATGAGCCCGATCTGATCGAGTACAAACGCAACTTGCTTAACGAGATGATTCAGGTGATTACTGAAAAACCCCCAGTACTTCGACTATCTGGTATTCAGCTAAGAAAGCTTTTAAAGATTGACATGCTAACTTTATCCAAACCCCAAGTTTCAGGCTCGATATGAGGACTTGCAACAAGACAACGCCATTCAGCACCTTCACCAACAGGTTGACGAGATGTTCCAAGGATTGGTGGAAGAGCATTGGAAAGCGTTGAAAGAAGTAAGTGATTAGGCTTTGATACAAAAATTCGTGTGCATCCAGCTTCTAGAATTTCCTACTATTAGACCTAGAGCCAAGCCAGTCAGCTCTAGGCTTGGCTTCTGGCCTATCGTTGACCCGGTTCTGGCTCCTGGCTTGGGCCTTGCCAATCCTAGACCTGGCTTCTGGCCTTACGCGAATTTGAGACAACTTGATCTTAAAGCCCTTCAGAAATTTGAGCTTTCAGCAAGTCGCCACAATCCAAGACGAGTCTCAGATCGAAGAGGCGATCGATGCCTGTCAGAATCTACTCCGGGGAAAGTACGGGATCAAAAAGGTGACTTTAGAGAAGCTGATAGCTTGAAAACTCTATGAAATCTAAACTTTGTATAGCTCTATTCATATTCAGGCTGAATTCGTTGCCGATGTGGCGACCGCTTTGCCCAAGATCTCGCCCGAAATGGTTGAGCGTCTGTTAGACAACTTCAGGGAGAGTCAATTGGCGCAATTCAAGGTGGAATCACTTAAAGTTCGATGTGAGGAAACTGGAGGCAAGACTACGATAGTCTTATAAAAATTGGCATATTTTAGAAAACAGTTAGGACGGAGAACTCTAGATGAACCTTGTGTTTTAGAAATGCGAGGACAGCTTCGAGATGGAGGTTCGCCACAATTTGAAAGTCGGCGGGCTCAACAAACAAATGGAGGATCTCCATTTGAAACAAGCTGAAGACAAGAAAAGATTGGAATCGCTTGAAGAGGAAACGAATGCTCAAATTGGAGAGATGAACGAGCAATTGGGTTCGTTGTTTTGAAGTCATATTTGACATGGGGAAAAGTATCTGCAATAGAATTCGAATTTTCAATCTTAGCGCTGAATTCTTAAAGTTCCGGTATACTGGGAAATATAAATTAGTAACTATGCCTTCCAAACTCAACTCATTAAAGTCATTAAAATTTAAATGCCATTTCAAGAACTGTATCTAATTGTTAGACAAAAAAGCGACCCATTTCTATTTTAGTGGAAGAGCGTCGACTCCGTGTCGAGGCCGAGAGTGGCGCTTCAAACTTACAGGGATTATTGGCGATGATGAAAGCGATGAACGAGAATTCACAAGTGTAAGTAATAAAAATCCACTAAAGAATCAAGAACCCTAAAGCCTTAATTTCATAAAAGCCATCTTTATCCTTTTAGTCAGAATTCTAGTCAAAACTTTTCTTACTATAAGCTTAGCCAAGAAATCTTGATTCTAAAAGCTATCTTAACATACAATACTTTCATTGTAAATGTAGTTTTTCAACCAAAGTTGTACTTTTTAGCCAAATGGAGCAAATGCGGCATGAAAGGGCCGAGCGAATCGCTCGCGAGGAAAGAGATCGTCAAGAAATGGAGAGACGTTACGAGACAGACATGGAAATGATGAGAATGGTGAGGAAAAGCTAAGCTAATTCTTTAAATTTGAAATTTGTTTACGTACACAACTAAAGCGTGATTTCCAGGATTTCCAACAAGAGTTTTCCAACAAGAGCGCGCTCGTCGCGACGAAGTTCGAGACCAGGAGAGACGCGAAGACATGAGGGTGAGGGGCATTTGAGAGGCTATTTTAGTGCTTTTAGACTTTATGAGGATGGGAAACTGACCCAAGAACGGTTGGCAAAACTAGACCCGGACCGGAGATAAATGCCGGTTTGTTCCAGCTTGTCTGGCTTGACTTGTCTGGTCGGCTTGTCAACTCAGATTGTCGATTGTCAACAACTAGTCAGCAGACTAGCATCATGACTCGGCCCTGGTCCTGGACTTAAAATTAGTCGAGTCTTCGACTAGGCTGATACTAGTTTAGGCGCTGGCCGGGACCGAACCATGGTCGCGAAAATATGAGGCGGGGACTCTACCCGCTGACCACGAACACATTTTGTCTGCCCGAAAGAAGTTCTTTTATAGCTACCTGACCCGGTCAGAGGGGTGTCTTGAGACTGGCCCGGGTCTAGCCTGATCCGGCCGAGTTTGATCTAATTGGCTAGGGTAAGCTTCTTCGACGAAATAGCTTTTAAACTCATCTGCTTAGCCTCTCTGCGGTAGTTTTTCCCATAAAATACAATCCTCACTTTAAATCTCATTTCCAGATGCAACAAGAGGTAATGGAACGCCAGCGACAGGCACACGAGGCCGAAATGGCCGCCATCCGTAACCGACCTCCGCCATCACGACGGAGGAATTGCTCAATTATGTAAAGAGATATTGTTTTTGACTCACGATTATTGTCAGATCTTGATTTCAATCCAATGATATTATTGCTAAGAAATTTTTTCCAATTTATCTCGCTCTTTTTGATCGTTTTTATCACAATCCTGTCACTCTGAAAGTTTTGAATTCATGATCTTTTGTTAAAAAGTGTTTCATCAACTTTTGATTATAGTTGGATCAATAGTTCACGAGACAATTTTGCTAAGAAAGCTTTCTACTTTTGCCTTTTTTTAAAATAACCCTGTTGACTAGATAATTGTTGAAATTTTTGTGCTTTTATGAATCAAAAACTATTGATCACAGCAACGTAGCACAAATTGAATTCATAAACGTTGAAAACTTGATGTTTTCTCAATCACCAGCAATCGTCGCGATTAACACAATGAACCCGATGCGGACAAAGAAATCAATCACACAACCGCATAAAACATTCTCACAAAAGCTTTGACTGTAGAAAATATCTTTTCTAAGCTTTTCACTTTGATTCAGACATTTTGATTGGCAACTCATTGAGCTTGAGCCTGAGTTTCTTGAGCTCTAAAATTTTCGTAGATCATGGTTTGAAAATCTCTTGGTTTTTAAAGCGTTTAGTGCTCTAGGTGCAATAAGTTTTAAAAGCTACTGAAACAGTTCCAAAACTATAAAAACATGCAAAAGTAGTGCCGATTCAATTATTACAGTCAGCAAAAAAGGCTTGCACCATTGTCTCCCAAAGGCTTCAAACAAAAAATTTTCGCAAAAATAAGCGTTTCGAAGAAAACTTGTTGGCAACTAATTTTACCATTGTGGTCTAGTTTCCGAAAATATTATTCATTTTTATTGCAAGTTATTTATTTTGGCGTAAAAAATAAGTTTTATTAGAGACACCCAGTTTAGAGCGCAAAAAAAGTCTTACACCATCGTTGTATTCTGTTGTAAACTTTTTCTTTTTCTTTTCTGACTTTGTTTTTTGCGCATTAATTTATTTTTTTCAGATGCCTTGCGAGCGATATCTGGACGCTTCGACATTATCAAACATTGTCAAAGCCCGTCAAGGAGGGATGAAAGTGAAGGCCATTTGTGATCTCTTTATCGTTGATCGCTGTACGGTCTTCAGGCTTTGTAAACGACAAAAACCAAAATTTTAATTTTAACAAATTTAAAATATTTGCGCAAATGCGCAAATGATGTTGCGCAAAAGACGCTTTTGTGGGTCCATCACGGTTGCGCTGTAAGCCAAAACCGAAAATTGCGCTGCCGAATTTTGCCCAAGTTCTTTTGCGCCGGCGAATTTTCGTTTTTGGCTTGCGGCGCAATCTTCACGGCGTATGCATTTGGATTTTGATTACGACAAAGCGGCGGTGTGCATACTAGATTCTCTAAATCGATCAGGTTTTTGTGCCTCCTCAAATTCTATTGACAAAGATTATGACTCTTTTGCGCTAGTCTCCTAAAATCATTCTCCTTTAATGACCCGGCCGCACTTCTTGAGAGCTAAAAGTAGACTAGCCAATTTTTTTCCGTCGTTCCTATTTGAAAACCCTTAAACGACCCTCTAGTTAGTAGGGAACTGAATAAGCCGTTCAAATATTATCGTAAATTTGAGGAGTATATTGAAAGAAATGGCATTAAATCGCAAAACGGGAAGTCTTTTTGCACGTATATTAATTCTAAAACTAAGGACCCAAACCAAGCTTCAAATTCCTTTCTTGATCCATCCAATTGCTAAATTCTTTCACAGCGTTTGCAATAACTAGAAACCTAACAAACCCTTTCTGGCTTTTTAGACCTAAACAGATCCCACCATAAGCAAAGAGGAGAAAAAGGTTTTGAAAAATCAAGCTGAAAAATCAACAGCATGGTGGATGACGGAGAAAATTGTAGCTGATGTAAGTAACGATCCAATGAGCTATAAATGAGGGATAGGCATGGTTCCTATCTAAGGAACGAGTTCGTGGAAGTTGACCTATTTCGAAAATGGGTGGCTTCACTATTTTAACTCTCGTAGCTTGATAATTGAGTTTTTTTTTGCCACAAAACTTTGCAATTAAATGCAGAATGAAATTTTTTTGTAATCTTGTGTAGAATTTCATGCTGCATTTAATTTCAAAGTTTTGTGGCAAAAAAACTCAATTATCAAGCTACGAGAGTTAAAATAGTGAAGCCACCCATTTTCGAAATAGGTCAACTTCCACAAACTCGTTCTTTCACCCCTGCGGTGGTTTTACTTACAAAATAGAATCCTCACTTTAAATCTCATTTCCAGATGCAACAGGTGATGGAACGGGTGCGACGGGCACACGAGGCCGGAATGACTTACGGAAACGCCATCCTTAACCGACCTACTGGTGAAACATACCCAGATGAAAATGATATAAAAATTTTTTGATCAAAATGCTTACAAAGCTAGCGTTTTCTTTGGATCTTTAGAAATGAGATACATTATGTATGCTTTGTTTCAAATTCGAAAGCCCTTTCTTGCGGGCCATGTGCCTTGCACGTGTTTAAATGGCTCCATTTTGAACCCTCACTTTTCCCCTCCCAATTTTCACACTTAGTAATACCCCAAATGATTTTTGAATGCCAATGAACGCACTGATTTTTTGTTTCAAATTCTATTTGTGAAGCGAATTTGAGAATGAATGCTCACATTTGTCTTGGATAATTTTCGATGAATAAGAGCTCCACTTTCACTAGCATCCAAACTTTTGCAGAGCTCCTCTTCCATGAGTTTTACCCCAATCTTTTGATTAAAACTGAACCTTAAATTTTGTAACACAAGTTTATTATAACATTATCCATTTTTTTTATAGGGGGTCGATCAGTCGCGAGAGGGATGTCCAACCTCTACAAAGTCGTCTTTGTCCTCGGACCACCCGGATCGGGAAAAGGAACCCAATGCGCTTTGATTCAAAAGGTATTATTCTTCGGCTGGGGCTATCACAGTTTATGCAGCTTTTGAACGTTTCATTGTAATATTAATTTTAGAACTTTGGTCTCGTTCATCTTTCCGCCGGTGATTTACTGCGAGAGGAACAAGAATCCAAGTCGCAGTAAGTCACATGATTCTTCAAAGTTAAAACGCAATTTGACTAATCAAATTCTTTAGATATGGACAACTCATCGCCGAGCACATTCGCAATGGAACGATCGTCCCCGTCGCCATCACGTGTGCTTTATTGGAGAATGTAAGTATTACAGTCTTTGAAATTTTCCTGATTGTAAACCGTTAAAGTACGAGTCCAACATTTATCTCAAATTTTCCTAAAATTTTATTTTTAGGCGATGAAGGCATCAGGTGATTGCGCTGGCTTTTTGATTGATGGCTTCCCGCGAAATCAAGACAATTTGGACGGCTGGCAAAAGAACATGGCAGACAAGGTAGGATTTTTATTTATTGGGGTCTCTAAATCTTAACCTGATTCAACTTTTTTATTCCTTGGTTCTTTTTTCGAAAAGAGCGGTTAAAATAGTCGAAAAGTTTGGCTAATCTGCACGTTTTGTTAGCCCTTTCGACCCTTACCTCGCGGGAATAATCTGGCGTTTCACACCGTTTCCCCGTGCCATTTTTTGCGGTCAAAAAGCTTTGTCTGCATGTCCTGGCAAAAAAATTATCGTTGATCATTTTCAGCAGACAGCAGATTTTCAGCAGACGAAATGAATGAGAAAGTAAAACTGGAAATTTTACGACAATTTGATAAATAGAGTTGATAAAGTTGATGTTAAGGCGATTGCCTAATTAGTGTTTGGTTACAACAATGAATGTACATATTTTTAGGTGGACGTCAAGTTCACGCTTTTCCTCTCGTGCAAAGTAGATGTTTGTGTGAGTCGATGCCTCAATCGGAAACAAGGAAGGTTGGTAAAAATTTTGTATCTGTTACATCTAAATTTTAAATCCCATAAGTTAGTAGTGTTTGTTTTTTCAGAGCCGATGACAACGAGGAGTCATTAAGGAAGCGTATTCACACTTACAACACGCAAACATATCCAATTATCGAATACTACGAGAAGCTTGGACTTGTGCGTGAGGTTGCTACATGCCGCGATACTGATGAGGTGAGTGATTGGTTAAACTTATAATTAAAAATTGCACCAAAGCTAAATTCGAAATACTTCTACACTTAAAGCACCAAACCTGAAAACGGCGTTCTCCAAAAATTTAAATCCATACCTAATTCTAGGTGTACACCGACATCGAGAAGATCTTCAAGGAAGCTGGTTTCTAAGTCCTAGGTATTTTATTATTCGTTTTTCTATGACACCCTAATAATTGCCGTTTTATTTTTACCCTAATAATAATCATTCCTTGATTTATCGACCCTCCTCTTCATACTTATTATATTGTGATTAATTATGCCCATCTCATCCCTGATTTCAAAGCTGTAGCTGATGTATTTTTGATGTATTTTGTGTATTTATTGGATTGGTGAATTGAAAACTGCCGGCTATTTCGCGGGACTCGCAGATAAAAAAACAACAGCATTGAACCAGCTGAAAGGGGGTTTGGTTACTTCAACGTTTTCTCAAAATATTGCAAAAAAATTATGCTTCCAGCTTTTTATTTTTTGGTATTTTTCTTCACTTATTGGACTTTATTGTTTTATTGGACTCGACAATCTGCCACCGGGACATATTCGTCATGTCATGCTTCATCAGTTCCTACAAGAGCACAGTGCAGGCTTGGCAGCTGCTAATATTAAAAAGATATATGGGGAGGACTCACCTTCCGAAAGAACGTGTCGAGTATGGTTTGCCAGGTTTCGATCTGGGGACAAATCTTTGAAAGATGCAGAGGGCCGTGGAGCGGCACTCCAACTGGATGCTCCCAAATTACTCGAACTCATTACCAACGACCATCGGATATCATTGCGTGAATTGGGAGAAGAGTTAGGGGTTGATCATGTTACAGTGCTAAATCACCTTTATACCCTTGGATTTAAATCGAAACTTGGGACTTGGGTGCCCCATGAACTCACTGACCCCCAGAAGTGGCAGCGCGCCTCCATCAGTGCCGTCCATATCTCACCATACGAAAGGAAATCCTTTCTTCTTCGAATTGTGACAGGAGATGAGAAATGGATTTTATCTGTGAACTTTTGGAGGAAGCGGTAATGGGTGGGTCCAGGCGAGAAACCCAAAAGTGACCCCAAGCCCGATTTGCACCAGAAGAAGTTTATGCTCTGCATTTTCTGGGATATGGAGGGAGTGGTGCACTGGGAGTTGCTGGATAGCAAGACGACCCTTAATGCAATCAAATACAGTGAACAGTTGAAAAAGGTGAATGAATCTCTGTAGAAGAATAGGCCCTCCAGATCAAAGATCGTTCTCCTCCACGGCAACGCGCGCCCTCATGTTGCAAAACTGACTCGCTCTAAAGTAAACAGCCTTGGTTGGGAACTTTTGGCGCATCCCGCATACAGTCCGGACCTTGCCCCTTCTGATTACTACTTATTACGGACCATGAGTAATGAGCTTGCGGGAGAACACTTCGATTCGGAAGAAGCAGTCAAAAATTGGCTTTGAAAGTTTTTCGGTTCCAAAGCAAAATCCTACCACGAAAAAGGAATCCTCAAATCGCCTGATGGGCAGAAGTCGTCAATAATAATGGAAATTATTTGGAATGGATTATGGTTTTATGTTGAATAAATTTTAGTTCAAAGTCCGGCAATTTTCAATTCACCAATCCAATATATCTTGCATCTTGCAGTACGAAGAAATAGCGCGGTTGAGTCAATGGTAGAACGCTCGCCTGCCGGGTGATCCGGGTTCGATTCCCGGCTTGTGCACCATGAAAGGAAATTGAAATATTGTTATAAAGAGCTTTCAATAGACAATAAATCTAGTGGTAGTGGTTAGAAATATGGAAAATCGGAAAATCTATCGAAAAATCCTTGCTAGCCGTGAGAAAAAGACATTATAGACATAAAATAAAGAAATTCTCTGAAAGCCGCGAATTTCAGCTGTTTGAAAGTGACAAGAAAAGATCGCAAAACAGCAAAGATATTTTCGCACACTATAGCATTGCTAAGTAGTACATTATTAGTACTATGCTATATAATATTCTGTATCAGGGCTGTGCTAAATACAAGTACAAGACGAAGTATTGTTGTCTGTTACTAGTGCAAGTCTATTGTCTGTGAGAAGTTAGCCTTCCGGAGGTCCCAAGAGCCCCGTCCTGAAGCTCATAACAAAGGTCATAACGAAGTATTGCTGTCTGTGAGAAGTTAGCCTTCCGGACCTCCCAAGAACCCCGTCCTGAAGCTGTCTAATGTAAACTTCACTACGGTTTTTCTAAATGTCTTTTAGAAAGTGCATAAGATCTTACAGTATCTGTAAGCTTTCCAAGCTTGACGAAGCGCTTGAAATGAAAAGAACGGGAAGGGTACGAGAAGAGATTGGCGAAGCAGGGGTCGAGCTTCTCGAGACATCGATACAAATGCTTGAGGTGAGGAGGTTTTATTCAATTGCTTAGACAAACATTCTTTCAAAAAAAGCTGTTTTTTAGAATTTCCTTCAAAACCGGATCATTTATTTGAAAGCCCAATTCGTGCAGATAACCCTGAATGAGATGAACAGCGAAATGAGGGAAACACTCGCAAAAGTGGGATGAGTCTCCAATTTTTGAGCATAAAGTACGCCAAAGTTCAAGTCCAGTGCAAAGCCCAAGTCAATTGCAGATCGAACTCCAAACAATTTCCGAGCAAAAATGGCTTTAAGGCTTGAAAACTGAAAATGCTTTAGAAAACAGCCAGCAATGCCCTTGTGACCATCAAAATAAAAATTGAGGCTAAAGAAAAAGAAATGGCACTTCAAAGAGAGATTGACGTGAGAAAAGATGAGATAGGGGCCTAGAAGAGGAAGGGCCTGCGATCTATCCCGTCCGATTTGCCAAATTAAGCAACGTCGGCGCGGGATAGTCGTGGGCTCCCTAGCCCGGCCATCGGAGTATCATTGGCTACGACAACTACACTTCTGCCTCAGTACCCCGCACGGCCTCCCTGCTCTCTTCCGGCATCGAGGGATCAAGCAAAGGCCGAGAGGCGATCTAATCACGGGACATCAGGATGCCATATGGACAACGGACCAAGGAACGGAACTCAACGACAAAGCCCCCGACTCTGCACTTTCAACGCCAGGACAGCCTCCTCGCAAGCCGATAAGACCACACTCCATGAGATGAGCAAGAAGATCAAATTCGACATCATCGCCCTCCAAGAAACAAAGGCCAAAGATGACTCCACGAAAACACAGGCGAACGGCGACCTGCTCATACTCGGCCACAAAGTCACCAACAAGAACATCGGAGGAGTAGGCTTCCTGGTCAGAAAGGACATCGTGCCATTCGTCGACAGCCATGAGATCATCTCTCCACGACTCGCAGTCCTCCACCTCAAGCCACCGAGAAACCGAGACATCGCCGTCTACAGCTGCTACGTCCCAACCTCCGCAGCCGAGGAAGACGCACGAGAAGTCTTCTACGAAGACCTCGAAGAAACACTCAAGAAAGACAGGAGCTTCTACAAGTTCGTACTCGGAGACTTCAACGCGATCATCGGGAACAGCGGCACCGGGAGGGTCGGAAAGTTCGGACTCGGCACACGCAACGACAACGGCGACCGTCTGGAAGAGCTACTATGGTCAGCAAGACTCACTCACGGGAACTCTCAGTTCAAGAAGAAGACTTCAAGACGATGGACCTGGTGCTCACCCAAAGGTCAGACGAAGTGCGAGATAGACCACATCCTCGCCAACAGGAAATGGACGCTTCTAGACGTCGGCGTGGTGCCCTCCTTCGTCACCGGCTCAGACCATCGACTCGTGCGAGCAAAAGTGAAACTGAGCGAACAAATGGCAAAGAAGATCCTCCACCGATCACCAAAGGAGAAGAAGCTCGCCCACGAAGAGCAGCTGACAAAGCATGCCGCAACCACCTCAAGATGGACCTCAGCAACCACCGCAAGCGAAAGCTCCTGGAAGCAGCCGAAGCAAGACGAAGCATCAAGAGGTGCAGACGAGGGCTCATCCAAGAGAGACAAGTCTTCACAGCCCTCAAGGACAACAACGGCACAAGAACCAACTCAAGAGCGGCGATGGAGAAGATTGTCCAAAACTTCTACACCGACCTCTACTCGTCGACAGGCACCCACCCACCACCGCAATTGCCAGCTGCCACAGAAGAAATACCGACAGTCCTCCCAGCCGAAATCAGAGCAGCCATCGCCACCACCAAGACTGGAACAGCACTAGGGCCAGACGACATCAAGATAGAGCTACTCAAGGCTGGAGGAGAAGACATACACAAGCTGCTGGCCAAACGCTTCACCACCTACCTCCACAACCAGAGGATACCTGACCACTGGCGAGAAGCAAGGACAGTTCTGCTCTACAAGAAAGGAGACAAAGAAGACATCGGAAACTACAGGCCAATATCTCTGCTATCGGTCCTGTAGAAGCTCTACACGAAGATTCTCCAACAACGAATAGAGCGGAAACTCGACGACTACCAGCCAGTGGAGCAGGCCGGCTTCCGCAAGAACTTCTCGGTGATCGACCACATGCAAGCCGTCACCCAACTGATCGAAAGAACACGAGAATTCCGAATGCCACTCATCCCGGTGTTCGTCGACTACAAGAAGGCATTCGACTCAGTGGAACACGGCGCAGTGACACAAGCCCTCCTCGACGCAGGGATTGACCACGGTTATATCCACGCCATACAAGACTGCTACACGGAGGCTACCACCACCATCAAGATGTTCGAGAGGGAAGTCCACATCCCGATCGAGCGCGGGGTCCGCCAAGGAGACACCATCTCGCCCAAGCTCTTCACCACGGTTCTCCAGTATGCTATGAAAGACCTCGAGTGGAAAGACTATGGCATCGCGGTAGACTGCAGAAACATCACCAACCTACGCTTCGCAGACGACATCGTGCTCTGCGCCAAGACACCAGAAGAAGCCCAACGGATGCTAGAAGACCTCGACCGAGTCAGCAAGAAGATTGGCCTCGAGATGAACAGGAAAAAGACTCAGAGCATGAGGAACGCATGGTGCTCACCTGGAGAGATCAAGCTGGAAGACCAACCACTAGAAGAAGTCACCTCCTACACCTACCTCGGAAGAAGCATCAACATGGAGGGAGACCTAAGACCAGAAGTCGCCAGAAGAAGACGAGCGGCCTGGACAGCACTAGGAAGCATCAAAGAAGTCACAAAGATACTCAAGAATCACCAGAGAACTCGGGCACACCTCTTCGACAGCACCGTCCTCCCGGCACTTTGCTACGGGACAGAGACCTGGGCCACGACACAGACTACTGAACGAGCCCTGAGAACGACGCATCGAGCCCTTGAAAGGAACCTTCTCGGGTACAATAGGAAGACGCAGCTCGACCAAGACCTAAGAAGTACGGATATGCGCCAGCTCTCGCGACTCAGAGATCCAGTGGAAGTGATTGAGAGAAAAAGACTCAGATGGGCCGGCCACGTAGCCAGAAGAACAGACGACAGATGGACGATACGGATCACAGAGTGGATACCACGAGACCAGAAGAGGCCCATCGGAAGACCAGCAACGAGGTGGAGCACAAGAGTGGCAGAGACGGTCAGAGAAAGGATGGCTAGAGTGCAACCACCACCAGCACCAGCAAGTCGAAGACTTCGAACCAGGAACAATCAAGCTAGGAAACACTGGATGAAAATAGCAAGGGATAGAGAAATGTGGAAGCAGGTTGTGATCTGCGCAAGTAGGAACACCTAAGTGCGAAGACAGATCAAACAAAAAAAAAATGAGATCGAGAGGGAAAAGAGGAGAAAATTTGAGGTAAAGCTGGGCACCATTCGAAAAAGTTCCTGAATTTTTCGAAGAATCGAGAAAAGGAAGAGAAGATTGCGAGAAAATAGTGATTGTCGATCGAAACGAGAAAGCAATGGAAAATCGATTCAATGCCAATCTCAAAGTTCAACTGCCTCCAGTAAACAAGTATTGTGCTAAGCTTCAGGCACCGAAAGTTGCAGAGGATGAACCAACTATTTCTGCAAGTTCAGTTCAGTGTTTTTCAAACTTTAACTAGCTGGCTAGCTTTGTATTTTGTGCTAAAGGAAAACACACTCAATCTGACGCATTGAATTCTTCATTCTTCACAATCATTTTCGCCAGTTCAAAGAACCATTGAGTGCACCAGATAGGGTGCGTTTATAAGCGTCTGTTACGGTAAGAGCAAGGGCCACTGTATTCCTATTTGCAAGTACCACTTACGGTTACGGTAAGTGAAGAAACTGCAAAATTGAGTGTACTAGAAAGAGTGTGTTTCCATTTTTCAACCCAAAGTACTCTCTTTCAGACTACAGCGCTGCCGAAAAACTGGTGAAAGATGAACCAAAAGTGTTCGAAATCGTGGTAAAGGTGAGGAAATTCTTCTCTAGAATATCTAGAAAAATCTAGAAAAACCATTAAATTTAGGGAACATCGATCGATCGAAGCAGATTTAAAGCCTTTCTAAAGCGCGAAATGAATCAAACTTTGAAAAATCTCATTGTCAAGTACAAAAAACAACAACTTCCCGAAAGGGATCTGAGGAAATTCAAGGATTTATTGATCAAAGATGGGCTGAAATTTGTGAGGGAAAATTTCCGAATCGAGTTTACCGCAAATGAAATTGAGGTGAGTTTAGCCTGCTGCAGACGGGTTCTTTGTGCTCGAATGGAAACACATCCTTTCTGGCGCACTGAATTCTTCATTTTTCAGGTATTAACGACTTGGAAAAGAGGTATTCAGTTCACCGGGCAGAGTGCGCTTCCATTTCACTCCACAGCACACTCCACAGAGAACCTTTAGCACCATAGTCAATCATTTGGTGACGAACTTTGTGATCTAATTTTTAGAACGCATACTTTCTGGCGCACTGAATCAGCTAAAAAGCCACTAATTTGAACCTTGCCCCTTTGGAGATTCTGATTCAGAACTCGAACTCGAGATGAACATTTTTCCTTCAAGCTTTGGTGAGAAGTGATTACAATGGAGAATTGACGAATGTGCTCAATCGGAGACTCGCAGAATGATGTTCTTCGAGAAGGTGCCGGTAGGTTAGGAGATGTTGAGCCGAATCGTGTAGACGAAAATTAAAAGCTTTCTAAAGTGGGTCAACTTTTCTACTAAGGTTTCTACTAGTGGGTCAATTTGAAACTTGTGAAAACTATCGTAAGCTTGCCTCGTTAGTATCCAAGTACCCGGATCTTTGAAAGCTCGCCAAATCAGACCAAGTTTAATTGCTTAAAATTAGGAATCAACATTCATGTTAAAGTGGGCATGTATTAGACTGAAATGCCGGTGAAAAAAAGACAATTGAGGGCCTACGGTAGCCCTGGGGCACGGTTTAGCATTTAGCATTCAATAATCTAAAGTGCTTTTTCAGAGGAACGATTTGTGTTTCGAGGAGATGCAAGATTTCGCCTACAAAGTCGCCCATCGGTTGTGGATTCAATTCCCTCCGTGATTGATGCAATATTTGGATGAGAATTTTCAAAAATCTGTGCGTCATCATCAGGTTTTGAGAAAAATTGAAGCCAAACCAGAACAGATTTTCAGAATGTCTCGTTTCAACATTGCCCACTTGGGCATCAAGGTCAAAACCCACCTCAGCATCAGCTTCAGAAATTCTCTTATGTTTGAGAAATTAAAATGTTATATTTGAGAAATCTTTTCTATGATTTTTAACCCAATAAAACTTTTGTATAACTTTTCAAAACCAAATACAAAAAATTTATCACAGCTGAATATTCCGAAAATGGAATGGAACTAAAATTGAATACTAGACAGACACACACACAAGCATAGACACACACGCAGACACACACATACTCTCTCGCTTATAATATGTAGGATAAAGCAGCTAGGATATGATAGCTTAGGATAAAGCAGCTAGGATATGATAGCTTAGGATACGCAGCTTTCTTCTACCAGTAAGTAGAAAGGATATCGAAGGCTGCAGAAAATAGATGGATTGGACAAAAAATCCAGGCAAGATTACGGTAACTTTTGAAAGTTGACACGTTTTATAAAATGAATGTTTGACCCTCTCACTTGCCTCTTCGATTTCAGACCAAACAGATCTCATAGCCATAGGTACGAGCTCATTACACTCGCTGAAAAGCGTATTCCGAAAAATAATCAATCGGCTCATCGGCGAACTTGGTAACATTCGACCATTCGGTGAAAAACGAGCAATGATGACGAATCTCGTGTTTCACGTCTTCACGAGTAAATCTTTCTGATTGCTGAAAATAAGCAAATGGTAAGTAAATGGTTTTCAGATAGAATCCAGTGCTTATTCCAGAGTTCAGAGATATAAAATTCAGAACTGTTCTTGGGATTTTCTGGCCTAAAACCAAGCCAATGCCAGACTAATCATTGAGTTTTCATTGGTTAATCAAGAAAAATCAAGATTGGTCTAGAGACCCGGTCAAGGCCAAGCCAAAATAAAACCAATTCGCTTTACATTAACTGCCAAATAACAGGCCAAGACAAAAGCGAAGCCAGACGAAAACAATCAGGCCAAGGACATGGCTTTTCTTGACTTCTCATTAACCAATAGATAAAGTTGATTTCAGTGACTTGTTTGATGTTTGATGTTGAGCACTTTGAGCATGAAAGCAAAAGGTTGAACAAAATTTGAGTAAAATCTTGAAATCTGTACCTGTACAAAATCTCGAAAAATCTGCACACGCTCTTTCGTCAATCTGATAAGCGTTCCCCAAGGAGTTTCCAGATTCATTCTAAATCAAAAAGCGACTCAAAATAATCATAAAATTAAAGAAAATTTCGAAAAACGATAATTTACAAAACATCAAGCCGAATAAAGTGGAATTGTTTTATTGACATTAAACAGAAATCAAGAAATTTGTCGAAAATTAAGAATTTATCGTACGGTATAAACTGGAAAGCATTTTCAAAAGATATAACTAAAATGAGTTATAAAGCTGGTAATAAACTTGAGCACCAATAAAAAACTCAAAATTCTGTTCTGTTCAAGGTTCAAGGTTCAATGTGGTAAATGTTCAACAATAGTTTTCCTTGGGAAAGATTTGATTGATTTGGTAATAAGTGGTCGATCGGAGGGTGGTCGAGCTGAGGCTGGTAGAGGTTACTGGCTAACTGAAATTACGGGTTTTGATTAAAAAAACTAGTATGATTTGGCTTTAAATGCACTTACAGTAACCTAAAGTCGTAGTGAAAGTACTATCGTTAAGAACTTTCACTACAGTTAAAGCTGTTTAAAGCTGTTTAAAGCTGTTTAAAGCTGTTTAAAGCTGTTTAAAGCTGTTTAAAGCTGTTAAAGCTGTTGATTGATGATTGATGCAATCTAAGATTGATTTTAGATTGATGCAATCCAAGCAACACTTGGAATCTAAAGCTTAAGTTTACCAACCGTTTGATGAATTCTGCAACCACCGTAAGGACCATTGCTTGAAAGTTGAAAGCTGCTCTTGATTCCTCCAAAATTCTTCTATTCGACGATCGCTTATGTAGATGCCACGCTTTAACTCTTGAAAAGAGTAAAAAATTATGGGTTTTGATTCAAAAACTAGTATGATTTGACTTTAAATGCACTTACGGTAATCTAATGTCGTAGTGAAAGTACTATCGTTAACAACTTTCCCTACAGTTAAAGCTGTTTAAAGCTGTTTAAAGCTGTTAAAACTGTTTAAAGCTGTTAAAGCTTAATAAGTCTTAAGCCGAGGATTAAAGTCTTTTAGATTGATGCAGTCTAAGAAACGCTTGGAAATTTAAAGCTTAAGTTTACCAACCATTCGATGAACCCCTCAACCACTATAACGACCATTGCTTGGAAGTGGAACGCTTCTCATGGGTCCTCCGAAATTCTTCTATTCGACAATCGCTTGTGTAGATGCCACGCTTTAACTCTTGAAATGAGTAAAAATCTAGTTAGCTTTTTGAAATTTAGCATTTGAGACTTCTACATCCTTACCCTGTCAATGCATAAACATGAAAAGAAGCGTGGAGAAATGAGTTTTCGCGCTATTATGGCAAAAAGTATTAGGTTGAGGGAAAAGTAAAGTTGCTTTTGAATTCCAGTTCTTTGCTCATACGATTTTTTTCAAATAGATATCAGCTAGACACTTTATCCTTTCATATTATATTTGAATTTTACAAATTTTTACAAATTTAACAACATTTTATGCACAAAATGCACAACGAAAAGTTTCGACTTCGAGCCGCTTTGTCGTATGATTTTAAACAAAGGAAATCCGCGGCTGAATCGCATCGGACAATCATTGAAGTTTTTGGGGAAGACAGCATTAACGAAAGACAATGCCAAAGATGGTTTCAGCGGTGCAAAGATGGAAATGAAAGTTTCCAAGACGAGGAACGGTCTGGACGACCCCAAGAGATTTCAGATGAGGATTTGTGCGCAAGAGATTTGTGCCCAAGAGATTTGTGCGCAAGAGATTTGTGCTAATATATCCCATCGGATATTTTAGCCGCACCGTGTAATAGGAATTTCAAAAACGAAGTAAATAAACATTTATTGTTTAATAGGAAAACTCGGAAGTTTGACTTTTCCTGGCTTCTTGACTCGTTTAATGTTGACTTCAATTTTGTGGTATAGCAGCAGATATGCAGAACACTCTTCATGGAATCTGTTTACGAAGCGGATCACCAGTTTGGCGTCAATTCGAGCCTCACACCATGTGATGTACTCTTCGTACAAGGCAATGAAAAGTTTTTATTTCTAGGCTTTGTCGGACAATTGCTGAAATTTTAGTTTCAAGGTCTAGAACAAGACTTGACTCACCTCACAAATCACTTTCAACAACTGAATTTTGTAATTCATTTCAGCTAGCGCTTCATTATTCAGATCTTTCACAATCGCATCAAGTTCTGTGTTGGAAATCTCATCTAAGACTTGTTTTTTTTCCCATTCAATGCTGAATGCTACCGTATTTTGGAGAAGAAGTTTGCTCGGAAACTGGTAACGTTCTCATAGACAGTGAAGTAGTGGTAGTGGTACTTGTGGATGGTGACCTAAACCTATTGTAAACATTCTAATACAAGAGCAGGCTTTTCTGTTTTTGAATGGCCCTCTAAAATTCTTTTTCGTGACCTAGCTGCACCCAAATTTTCAAGAGCTCAAAAATGGTTGTTTTTTTATTGATTTTCATTCAGTTCTCGACGTCATTAAGCTTTTTTTGGTCTATAACTATTATTTAAAGTCTTTGAGAGTCTTTAAAAAGTTGAACATTTTGCTATCCGAGAGTTCGCAATTTGAAAAAATGAAATGTGAAAAAAAAGGAAGCTCTTCTATTGGAATAAATATGGTAACTTCTGACCTGATTTGACAGATCCCAAGATCTTGTTAGAGCCCAGACTTGGCAGAACCTGGACCTTGACTCTGGCTGTCCTGCCCTGGTTGACCTCATTTATAGACCCCAGAGTCCGGTTGGAACGCTGTCATGAAACTGGCTTCTTCGAGCTCTGGCCTGGCCTTACAATTAGCTCGGTTTTGCAGGGTAGAACCCCAAAGTTGATTGACAATAAAGCACTAAATGATAGCAATATTTTGGCCACTTTTTTGATTTGCTTTGAAGTTTTGTTCTAACGATGCTATGCCAAAGCTGGCCTGGTCTTACAATCAGATTGGTTTTACAGACCTTAGAGTCCAGATAGAAGAACCCTATTCGGTTATAGCCGATAGTGTCTTACCATATTTCCAAGGCTTTCATTTACCTCATAACCACAGTTGAAGGATCAAGAAATGCGTCTCTACTCGTTGAAACCTCCAAGAGTGGGAACTTTATTCAACAGCTCGTCTCTTTCCGCATTTTGCTCAATTTTCATCGCTTTCTTTAACTCGTCATCAATGATTTCTTGAAGCAATCTTTATTTGAATCCGCTTTTACCCTCACCATTACTTCCTTGCTCAAATCTTTCCAATTCCCTCTCGAAATCACTTCTTCAATCCTCAACAATGTTTCCTGTCTCAATCCCTCATTATCACCCATCAAAGCCAAGTCTTCAATGGTAGGCAAAACCTAAAATTAATTAAATTCTGGTTTAAAGAGTCATTCACCGTTAAATTCTTGTCCTGGTGGCTCATCTTGAAATATTTTCAACTAAAAACAGAATTAAAACTTTTGAAAGCAATAAAAGAAAAATCAAATATAAATCGATGAAATCGAATCGAAATCTCATCCAAAACAATAAACTCAAAAATTTATTAAAGATCGCTTAATGGTGAAAATCCTGCATTCTCCCGGCTCGATCTCCGAATCTCTCCATTTCTTGGCCAGAGTCAGTTCTCTGATTCGATCGTGACCCAGATTGGAGATAGATTATCGCTTGTGGACGCCCCTGATACTGTGAGGTCATTCCAAGTTAGGTAACTATAAAACGATGATTTACGGGGATTTTCTTATCAAATATTGGTTTACTGGTTTAGCACTGTTTGCTGATTTCTGCAAGAGCTTCAGCAATTGTGTGATTTTAAAACAAAAGCTGAGGGCAAGCTTATTTGGTTTTTTGACATAAAACAACAATGTTAGTTATTAAGTCATTTCCTACAAACCCTTGCCTGTAGCCTGTAGAAGACTGCAGCAGATCCTTGGAAGCTTCAGCAAAGAGAATTTGTTCTCATCTTCCAGCCTCCTCAATATCTCTATCAGCCCTAATCTTGCACCTTCTGATAACTATTGATTCCGAGTGATGAGCAAGGATTTTATCAATAAACGTTTGATTTCGAATATGATGTGTCAAAAAGTGGCTTATGGATTAATTCACATTAAAACCAAAAAATTTTCTACAAAAAAGGGTCTGCTCTTTGCCGGTGAAATGAGCTCACAGTATCCAAAATAATGGAAAATATTGATAATGATTGCATGTAAAAGACTGAATAAATCAGTTGTTTATTCTTAGCGACATTCCATACCCATCAACCCAATAACAATGTTAGTTATTAAGCTATTTCCTGCCTGAATTGTAGATGATATTTGGAAGCTTCAGCAAAAAGAATCTGTTCCTCGATATCTCGGCTTGTCGTCGTTTCTCCTCATTTTCTCTTCGCTTCCGTTCTTCCCGTTCTCGCAACTGAATTGAACTCTGGAAAGTATTTTACAAGAAAAAAACCTTTTTCTTTTCGATGAACCACTCTTTTATATTGCTCAGTAATGCGATGTGGGTCTCGGTCGGAACGTTTAACGGAAGATCTCTGCGTACTCGTTCAGCGTGTCCCTCTCGCCGAAGCCTTCGTGTGGCTGAAAATTGGTTTTCTTTGTCAAGGTCCTTGTCATCTTTTTGAATAGAAAAGCTATCATTAGGGCTGTAAACTAGGCCAGGCCAGATTTAAGCTAGTCCAATGTCAGCCTCAACGAGTCCTCAGAACGTAGCCAAGTCAAGACATGCCCGGAAAAATCGCTTTTATATCAATACTTTACCCATGTAAGCATGAAAAAGTGACAACGGGGCATTTCTTTGAAATAATTCTGATTAGAATGCAGACTGGTATGGGTTTATTGATTAGTTGTACCGGTAATTATCGACTCAACAGATAGTAAAAAAAAAGATCCAGTTGTCGACGAGCCCTTTGTCAAGCAGCTTAGACAATTCCCCATATTTATCATATTTGTAAAGAGTCCTCGAGAAAAAGCCTTTTCGAAAAAAGTTTACTTTTCGAGAATTCGATGAGTGCCGAGATTTTTGCAATGCTCAATGGGCCACACCCGAGCACATTGCTAAGTTCCTAAAGGTCCAAAAGTT